ATTCAACACTTGCCTTTCTTTTTCGTGACCCAAAAGCATTTTCAACAGTAAAATCATTATCGTTGTTATCCTCACTAGAAAAATTTGATCCAAGTTCTTCTTCATCTTCAAGTATGTAGTCTTCATCATCCTTTTCAACTTTCTCTTTATCTCTCTTCTTAGAATTTTGAATCAGACCCTTAAAAATGGAGGAGATTTGGGGCAACCCAAGAGCCTCTAATCTTGCTCTATTTTCTGCAATTTTTTTCATCCTCTGCTCCTCATACTTGAAAGTTTCAAGCTTTGACATTGTTTTTCTCTTCTTCACTACAAACAATAAACCTTTCAATATTAGATATATTAAGTTTATATTAGCATTTAAGAATCCAATTGGAACAGTAAAAAAAAATCAATCTTTGAAATTATTGATTCTTCTTTTTCCAATTGTACATTATTTTTAATCATATATCACAATCTTTGTTTATCATTTTGTGATAGGGTTTAGTTTAGTTTACTGTCCAGAGAAACTTATTACAACAATCAATAGAAGGGAAATTGATGATGACCTAATTACAATAATCAAGAGAATTGAATTGTGAAAGAGAGAATGATGATATAAAGAAAATAAAAATACCGTACAATGTTTCTGATTGCAAAAGGCGAACCAAACTTTCTTGACAAGAGGAAAAAGAGAATAAAGTTGGGATGTTACCTTAGATTTTTCCACGCTCTTCGTTTCCTGCAACGTTCTTGATGGGAGAGAAAATAAAAAGAAAAGTGGGAGGTTACCTAAAATCTTTTTCCTTCCCGCTTGCCACTCTGTTGGTGTGTCTGAACACATACACCTTAAATACGTCTCCAAGCACCGATTAACTACTTCACTCTGCCCGTCTGTTTGTGGATGGTATGCTGAAGACAAACGCGTTTCCACTCCTTGTAATTGCATGAATTCTTGCCAAAAGTTACTGATGAAGATGGGATCTCTATCACTGGTAATTGTTTCAGGGAACCCATGGAGTTTGAATATATTATCCAAGAAAGCCTGTGCTACATCAGATGCTTGGTAAGGATGGGATAATCCAATGAAATGGGCAGCCTTACTTAGTCTGTCAACAACCACAAAAATGACTTGCTTCCCTGCGGAACTAGGTAGTCCTTCTATGAAGTCCATATTGATATGCTGCCATATGTGATCAGGGATAGGTAATGGCTGAAGGATACCCAGAGAGGCTATAGTCTCATATTTGCACCTCTGGCAGGTTGCACATTTTCTAATGAATTCTGTGATATCTCTGGTTAGTCCTTTCCAGTAAATGACTGACTTAGCTCTCTGAATTGTGGCATTTATACCCGAGTGGCCTGCTATGGAAGAAGAGTGCAACCAATTTAATATTTGAGTTCGGAGATCACCATTATTTCCTATCACTAGTCTACCTTTTCTTCGTAATTCTTCGTTTCGCCAAGTGTAGTGTCTGTGAGAATCAGGGTTGGTTTTCACGTCGTTTATGATTTTTTTCAATGATAGGTCTGTTCTCCATGAAGCCTGAATTTTATCTAGGAGGTCGGTACTCACAGTATGAATATTGACTGAACAACATGTAGGATCTTCCTTCCTGGATAAAGCATCTCCTGCTATATTTGTCTTACCCTCTTTATATTCGATGATGAAATCGAATTCCATCAATTTAATCAGCCACTTCTGCTGGAATGATGTTGTTAATCTTTGATCGAGTATGTATTTTAAGCTTCGGTGGTCAGTTTTAATGATAAATTGCTTGTTCAGCAAGTAGTGTCTCCACTTTTGGACAGCAAACACCACTGCAAGTAGTTCTTTCTCATATGTAGATAATGCATGTTGCTGTGAACTGAGGGCCCTGCTGATGAATGCAATTGGGTGGTGCGCCTGCATTAAGACTGCTCCTATTCCGTACCCACAAGCATCCACTTCCAATACAAATTGCATGTTGAAATCAGGTAATGCTAGTACAGGAGCCTGAATTAACAAAGATTTCGATTTTTGAAATGCTTGCTTGGCTTCCACTGTCCAAGTGAAGTTGTCTTTTTTCAATAGTTCGGTGAGTGGTTTTGCAATGCCACCATAACCTCTTACAAATCTTTTGTAGTAGCCTGCTAGACCAAGGAACCCTCGGAGTTGTTTGAGAGTTTCCGGAAGTGGCCAATTTTTTACAGCCTCTATTTTTGAAGGATCAGTTGACACGGCTTCTGCATTGATAAAATGACCTAAGTACTCTACCTTGGTGACAGCAAAATAACACTTACTCTTCCTGGCAAACAAGTTATTCTGTCTCATAGTTTGGAGTACCAATTGTAAGTGCTGCATATGATCTTCAATGCTCTTACTGTATATCAATATATCATCAAAGAAAACTAGGAGAAATTGTCTCAGGTACTCTTGAAACACAGAATTCATAAGGCCTTGAAAGGTTGCGGGAGCATTGGTTAGGCCGAATGGCATCACCAAATACTCATAGTGCCCCCCATGAGTTTTAAATGCAGTCTTGTGGACGTCCATAGGGTGCATTCTGACCTGGTTGTAACCTGATCGTAGGTCTATTTTTGAGTAGATGGTGGATCCATGCAATTCATCCAAGAGGTCTTCCACAAGGGGAATTGGGAATTTATCCTTAACAGTAGCTTTATTGAGTTCCCTATAATCAACACAAAGTCTCCAGCTTCCATCCTTTTTCCCTACCAGAACTACGGGACTAGCATAAGGGCTGTTGCTAGCTTGAATGATACCTGTATTCAAGTACTCCTTGACCAGCTTGTCTATGACATCCTTCTGCTGTTTCGCATACCTGTAGGGTCTTTTGTTTACAGGGTTGCTGCCCTGAACGAGGGGAATTTTATGATCATGGTCTGATCTGACAGGTGGCAATTGCGTTGGTTCTTGGAAGACATCTTCAAATTCCCCAAGGATGTATTGTATCTTTGGTGTAGGCACAGGTAGCTGGCCGTGTGTTGTCAGAGTGTGTAACAAAGCACCTTCTTGGTTGCATAATTGTATCATTGAAATATGTACTCCTTCCTTAAGAATTCTGCCGAACTGTTTTCTTCTCACGGTCTTCATTCCTTGTAGCTGAGCACTTCGTAAAACATGCTTTCTGCCTTGTGCATAAAACTGCATACTTAATTTATCAAATTTCCATGTAATGTCACCCAAGGTTATAAGCCATTCAATTCCCAAGACTAAATCACAACATCCCAGCGATAATAACATCATGTCCGATGTAAACATTGTTTGTTGTATTGTCCATTTAAAATCTTTGACCATCGCTTCTATATTTAACTTGCTGTCGTCTGCTACTGTAACATGCATAGGCTCCAAATTGTCTATTCGACAACCTAACTTCTTGGCAATGTGGACGTCCAGGAAGTTGTGTGTACTACCACTGTCTATAAGAATATGCAAGGGTTTCTTGTTGTAGTAACCAGTAATTCGCATAGTTTTGAAGTTGGGGATGTCTGTCAAGGCATGTACCGAAATTTGTGGTTCACCCATGTCAGCTGAGTCTGAATCAGGCAGTTCTTCTTCGAATGTTGGGTCATTCGATGTTTCTTCCACTTCAATAACATGTAGTTGTAGCTTCTTGTGTGTAAGGCTATGCGCTTGTGAGTATGGTTCATCACAGAAGTAACACAGTCCTTTTGATCTCCTATCAGCCATGTAGGTTGGAGTCAGATTTCTGTAAGGCTTTGTTTTATTCGAGGTGAATTCTGGCTGATTATACTTGGCTTGGTCTGTTGGTGTGGGCAGCAATGGTCTTGAATTCATAACGTTCTTGTTGTTTCTTGAATTCAAAGAGAGGGGTTTTGAGGCCATTGCCAATGGTCCCTGGGGTTGGGAAGCCTTATACATCTTTGCCAATGAGAATGCTCTCCGAACACTGTCAGGTCTAAACATGCGTACCATCATTTGGATTTCGTGTTTGAGTCCTCCCAAAAAGCAACTTAGCCGGTACTCCTCTGTTAAGTCTAATCTGGAAATTATTGCATCAAAGGCCTCATGATATTCGCTGACCCCTTTCTCCTGTCTTAACTTCATAAGTTCTGCCATGGGATCATCGCAGATATCTCCAAATCGGTCCTGCAACATCTTCATATACTCCTCCCAAGACGGTTGTTGATTCACCAAATTCTTGGAAATTGCCGTGTGCCACTGTAAAGCTTTGCCTTCAAGGTGAACAATTGCTAACCGGACCTTTACATCCTCAGGTGTGGCATCAATCAAGAAATAATTTTCGCATTGATACATCCATTGATTAATGTTTTCACCGTTGAACCTCGGAAAATCAATTCTTGTAAGTCGTGTCCCACAAGAGTATTGATTTGAGCCTCTGGTACCATTACCATTAGAATTTTTGCTAACGGAAGGTGAGTGACTTCCTGAATCAAATCGGGTCTTGAATAGGTCTTCCATCTTCTGTGATAATGCTTCAGATAAAGAATCTTGAATCGTGCCCGCAAGTTGCATTATCTGTTTATCGATCTGCGCTGACAGCTTGGTCTCCAATCGTTCTTCCATGTCTGCCATGTTGTGTTGGTTACGGGTTGTGGCCATGAATCGTTCAGACTGATACCAATGTTATGACCAGAACTAGGAATTCAATAAGAATTCGAAGGACTAATCGAAAATAGGGACTCTATGTGAAGAAAAGAATCCAAATGTTATATTTGAAGAAGAAAGATGAGAATAACAATTTGTGAATGAATTTTCCGTCCTCTAAGGCAGGATTAAAATGCATTATATAGCCAACTGACTATAACCAATCCTCTCCGCTATTCTATCTTATCTATAATATATTTAAAATTACTAACTACTCTATCTTATCTCTAGTTTTGCAGATAAAGTATATTAAAAATTACTAATAAGGACTTGATTCTGTTTACATCATATCAAAAATAGTGTTCCATTTGTAGTAGTGTTAATGTTTTCCAAGGATGTAATAAAAGAGAGATCATTGTTCTTTGTCTTAATATCAAAAACACCACGAGCTCCACTAGAAGAATTTCTTAGGAAAGAAAAAAAAAGACATCAATTATGAAAATATTTTGAAAGAAGGAAAATTAAACGGAATCTAGATAACAACTACAAAGAAATTTTTTTCACAAAATCAAGATAAGCCTTAGAGACACGAAGAAAGAGGTTCACTAAGATGAGGTTCGGAATATGAAGAACTTGGAATGATGTATGCAATGTGGAATTACAAGAAGAAAACACATACAAATTTTTTTAAAAAAATTTTCTTACATCAACTAATTATCATTGACACATAGTCTATAGGAATCTCAAAATTATAGAGTTTAGATAGTCTAGGAATCTCAAAATTATAGAGTTTAGATACATTTCTTAGACAAAACAAAGTAACCTATAGCTAACAATCTATGTTGACACTCCTTGCTATGATGAAAACTTACTACATCATTTTAATTTTGTTGTATAAAAGATTTAGAGATATATGATACATCAAACCATATTTACATCATTTTAATCTCACATCAAATGCTTAGATATTCACGTCACTACTTTATGAAAAAAAAATTTGCTTCATTGTTTTTTTGTCAATAATCATGTAACTCCATTAGATATAGTTCTTTAACATTACCAAAAAAAAAAAAAATGTGACAAGCATGTAAAATTGCCACAAAAAAAAAAGAAAAAAAGAAGCAACACTTATTTAATTGGAAAAATATTGAAAATGTAAATATTTCCATCAAATATTTGCTTCCAAAGGTCTGTTTCTTTTTTGTTGGCAACGAGGCCATTTTGGACGTTGTGCATGACAAAAACATTATGGGATCTAGAAAATGAAGTAAATGGTAACTTCTATGTTTTCAAGGTTTTTTTTTTTTTTTTTGTGTAGGAAGATTAAAATAATACAACAAATTATCGTCATTGCAAAGAATGAAAATACAAACCCCTACTTACAACCTATTTCACCTTGTTGGAAAAACGCAACTCAATTTACAATCCTGAGATTCTTCATTTTAGGATCAATGAGAATTAGTTATTACCAAAAGAAAACTTAAAAAAGACAAAAACAAAACTGATGAAATAAGAGGGGAAACATTCATAAAAAAAAAACAAGAAAAGAACTAAAAAATAATTTCTCGATTAAAGAACAAAAATATGAAACTTTTAAGTGTAAGAACTAAAATAAAAAGATTTTGCAAGTAGGAAAACTAAAAGCAAATAAAATGCAAGTATAGGGACAAAATAATAAAGTCAATAAAAGTATAGGGACTAAATAATAAAGACATCACAAGTATAAGAACGAAAGGGAAAAGAATAGTGCTCAAACTATTTTCACATTCAACCTAGTTATAAGTTTAGATGATCACCAACTCGATCAGTTTAGGAATAACATATATTGTACGTATAGTATACACAATTTAAAATATGAAAATTCCTAATATACATTCTGAAGATCCCAGAAAGACGCAGCCTACATAAAAAAAAAAAACATAAAATGTCTGCAGCCTAAATACTGCAGTGTAACAAAACACCGTTAGGTAGTCTGAATCTTTGTACCACAAGATTGTAGTTTCTTTATCTTTTTTCCCACATTATAGTATTATAAAAGAAAACCAGGGGCAGCTTTGGGTACAATAACTTGCACATGATGTTACAATACGTATAAGATTCTATACCTTATTCCGCTTTGCATGGAATGCTAAGAATCTAATTATGATCTCTAGAAAACAACATGACATCATAAGCCACATGCTGATACGTACACCTCCTCAGACAAGTAGTAGATACGCAACACTAATATTATACTACCATCTATTGTGTCTGGAATACGTGACAGTATAATGATGAAAGCTACCATATATTATACGATAAAAAAAAATGTGACAGCGATTATTTAAGTAAAATAAGCCTAGTATTGCGTGTTGTAGGGATGGACGGTTTGTGGCCCACACAGCCTTTTGAGGGGGACTCTGATTTTTGTTAGTTTGTGAGCAGACAAAAGCAGAGAAGCTTCTTATCCTCTCCCTCTAGGTTTTCACACAACACCTTACACATAGAATCTGTTCAAAAGCATAGTGTCTTACGTTTGAGACATTAGCCCCTCAATTCCCCTCATAATTACTCGAACCACACCACTCCTCTAACTGCTTTATTTCTTTTGTCCTTGCCACGTACAATGTACACTTTGTAATTTTCATGAATTTCAAGGGCAAGTCTACGCTTCTTTGATCTCAACAGTGGCCTATTTAGTTCAATGTCTTATAAGCTGTTTTGGTTCATGTCCTGTGCCACCATTTCTAAATTTCCCTCTCCCTCTCTCTCTTTCTCTCTCTCTCTAACTTTGCAATGGCTCCAATGAGTCTCCCACCTGGGTTTAGGTTCCACCCCACAGATGAAGAGCTTGTTGCTTACTACTTGGAAAGGAAAATAACTGGTCGCTCAATAGAGCTTGACATCATCGCTGAAGTTGATTTATACAAGTGTGAACCTTGGGATTTGCCAGGTACCTACACAACTATATCTTTTCATTAACACCAAATTTAGATACAAATTTAGAAGTATTTTTAAGATTTTTTTTTTGTACAAAATAACTTTATTTTTAACTTATTTCTAAACAAACTCTAACTTATTATTTATATGATATGATTCACATCATTACATTAAATATAATTATCAGCATTTAGCTAGTTCTTCATTCATTTATATTTCATGGTTCAACTAAACTAATATTATAGCTTCCATCAATTCCAATTGATTTTAAAATTTTAAAATAAATGAACAGATAAATCATTCCTTCCAAGCAAGGACATGGAGTGGTACTTTTACAGTCCTAGGGACAGGAAGTACCCAAATGGGTCAAGAACTAACAGGGCAACACAAGCTGGATACTGGAAAGCAACAGGGAAAGATAGGCCAGTGCACTCTCAAAAGAAGCCAGTTGGCATGAAGAAAACATTGGTATATTACAAAGGTAGAGCACCACATGGGATTAGAACCAACTGGGTTATGCATGAATATCGTTTAATTGAATCAGTTCCTGGTGCTGCTCTCTCATCTTTGAAGGTATATTATATGGTAGCCTTTTTTTTTCTCGCTATTTTTTCCATAAACAAGACGAAACTTTATTGAATATTTATTCATAAGAGGTACTCAAACTTGAACGAGAATTTTATTTGGACTTTTACATTCAGGTTATCGTCCAATACGTATATAAATCTATAATACTAACGAATATCATCACCAATCTTCATTCACCTTCAATATTTTCCTCCCTTTCTCTCTCTTGTTTAGAAGGAACTGTTTTTATGGTATTAGCTTAATCAATATGATTTTGAAGTTTTATTAATATATGTATCATTAAAAAGTGCGTAAGACTAGGGTTATGAAAGAAAAAGAAAATAACTAATAAAGGAGGAAAAGAGTAGATCTTTGATTAACTGTTTGTTTGTTAGGTTAATTACATTGTATAGAATAATAATAAGATTCATACGTTCCAAAATTTTCTCTTCCTCTCTGAACTTTTTTTTTTTTTTTTTCTATCTCCTTTATTATATCATTCACAACATCATCCAACAATTTATTTATTTATTTCATTTCTATCTCTCAAGGTGTAGCTTATATTGGAGTGAACCAACATCATTTTCTATTGTATATATAGGAAACGGTTTTTTTTTTTTCTTCTTTCTTATGCCTTTTACTATCTTTAAAGTGTAACTGATAATAATTGAATGATTATACATATATATAGAGGCGAAACCCTAAAAAGTCTCAAAAGTCTTCATAAGATGAGACCAATGACCAAATTCTCGCTTAGTGCTTGCTTTAATCAAGTCTTTTCCCAAATTGGTCTATTAGTGATGGAGGGTTTTAGTTACACTTCTTTTAAGATCCTATGTGATAATTATTTGGTCATTGAGTCAACTTCACTAGACCAGACCCGTTTTCTATGTTGAGCGTGAATCTAGAGTAACTAATTAAGCTAATCCCCATCTTTGTTTCGAACCTTGCTCTACAAGGATGCACATGCCTGCAATATATATTCCCTTTATTTCTTTTTCTTTATATGGTTTTCATACTTTTATTTTTCTCCCCTTTAAAAAGAACAGCTTGTGATCGACACACTATGGTGAAAAATTCAGATCCATGGACTTAGATACTTACTATTGCATCGACCCTTTTCTCTTGCCAAACTCTTTCTGAATTTGCTTTTTTGTTTGTTACTCTTTTCTTGTATTCATTGTGTTTAAATCAAACCAAAATAAAAAAAGAAAAAGAACTTTGATCATGAAAAGCTAACTAACATACACATGTAATGACAAAATTTTCACCACATGACAGGATTCATATTCGTTGTGTCGTATTTTCAAGAAGACGATTCAAATTCCAGCTAAACCTAAAGAAGAAGAACAAGCCGAGGATGCAAAGAAGCAATCCATGTGGATCTCAGAAGAACAAGTGCTAGGCGAAGACTCAAGTGGCACTGAGATTTCTAGAGAAATGGAAACTGTTGATGACAAAGTTCTCAATCATCATGAACACCCTAAATTTCCTTGTGACGCTTCTTCCTCTGATCTCACTCAAGGAACGTGTACACCAACAGATACCGGTATAGCAGAAGATTTTCAACCACATTTCGCTTGTGATGAAGCAAACAGTGCAGCTAATTCATACACAATGGGAATAGGATACCCTCCAAGTCTGTTTCAGGTAACATTTAAATTCAATTTTAAATTTCAAATTTTGATGAATTTCATGATTGTTTGAGTTTGTATCGTGGTACTAGTCACGTAGATGTGGCATGAATATATAGATTTATAGGAGACATATAAAAAGCAAGCTGGGCCATAGCATGATCATTATTATATGAATTGATCTGATCAGTATTTTAACTTTTCCTTTTTCTTCCTTGTCCTTGGCATTTATGTTCATGATGGCTTCCTTTGCCAATCCTGCATTTCCAGCGACAATCTGCTTTATATTACCGCTTTATAAATTTATGGCTTCATTGTCACACCTCAAATTAATAACACACATAAATTTGTAGAAATTTCTACTATTTCTCAATTACTTGCATATATATGTGCATGAACTTGATCCCATCTTCATATATGTGTCAGTTTACTATTGATATGTGGTTGGAATTGGTGGGGCCACATAGCATATCTTTGAGTTCTCTTTTGATCTTAAAGTGACGAGAGTTGGAAGTATGATGAAGTTCCTATCTTTTCATAAAGCTCACTTCTCTAAAATTCATTTGGACTGACTCCAATTTAGCTTTTCTTCACCACCCCCAATAACTTCTTTTGACTGACTACTCAAAACGTTTTCCAAAGTAAAGATGTCTTTACTCCCCCATTTTCCTCACGGGTTGATACGTTCTAAAACTAAAGCACTCATATCAAACATCTCGCTACATCTTTATCTTTAATCACACTCTTTTTTATGAGTAATGTCTGGATGATTAATTTCCTATTTTAGCAAAAGCTAGTTATGTGAGTAGCGGCTTCAGCATTCAACTAGCTTTACAATGTTCATACAGCAATATTTGCATCTGATTGGGGACTTCGACTAATGCATTCTACCTCTTCCACTCATAAATCAATACAAGACACTTTTTATTCTTTTCCTTTTTAGCCAATAACCACAATTCTTCCCCACTTTTCTTTTGCCACTATTGCACTACTCCCAAGTTGTGCTTTAGTTCCAATAAGCACGCGTTATACAAGTCTCTTCATAATCAAATCACCTGTCCCAATTTCACATCTCCTTCTACGTTCTCTCAACTAAAAAACTATATTTTGGTAACAATACTAACAATCAAGAATGTGTTATTTTTTTTGACCACGTATCATTGTTTAATTAGTAGGACAATAAAAAAAATAAAAAAGACATGTGATTTCAATTCATTATCTTTGAAATATATTCATCACAATGTATCAATTAACCTTCCTACTTTATTACATTGTCATTTGGAGATTAATACTATTTCTATTATGGTGCAGGATGTAGAAATACCTACCTATGCTGGCATGCATTATCAACTTCCATACACACCTTTGGTGCTGGAAGATTTCCCACAAATAAATTTACCAGAGACAAAATCAACGAAGCCAGAAATGACTGATGATTGCATGTTATATGACAGATACAAGGACTGTATGAATGGAACCCTAGAAGAGATCATCTCTTTGTGTTGCACACAAGATAATTCCGTCCCTTTTCCCATGCTAGAATGATTATACTAACAGATCACTCAAACTATAGCATCAAAATATTCATTGACACAGAGAAACTTGTGTTGGCTAAATAACGACACAAACGGGGATTGTTTTTTTCCAGCCACATAGAAAAGGCTACACACATATAATGTACTAAACATATAGTAGAAGATGCTGAGCCAAGGGGGGCTCGCATACAATTCGTTTTCATTTCCTTTTAATATTTTTTTTTTCTTTTTGTGTTCTTTCTTTTATGGGGGTTCGATTCCTTCTTTTATATGTTGGTGTTCAAATCTCTTCTCCACTTCGGAAAGCAAATGGATGAGGCAAATTTCCAATTGTGATGTTTTATATGCTTCAATGTCTGACTTGTGCTTTAATTTAGTTAATTTATTTTCCTCAAAAAGTTATATCTTATTTAAGACAAAGAAATTCTAGTTATAGTCTTTTCTAACATTTCTTACTATTACTCTAAATTTTTTGATGAAATCACAAACTTTGATAATTCTCGGAGTTAAATCATGAGAGTTTATTAATTCAATTTTCACCTTTGTTGCGGCTAGTTATTTTGTTTAGGTTGTTTGGTCTCTTTCTAGTGTAGGTGTGACACCCTTCTACTCCAAAGTGTAATAAATAAGAATTTTCTTTTCATAAAGACAAATAAATTAAAATAATTATAAAAAAAAATATTTGAACTTAATTTATCCAATAAAAGGATTCACAAATCTATTATAATAAAACTCTTAAATTAAAATATGAAAAACCATAACCAAGGCACAAACCACCTGATTACATAGTTCCAAAATAGAAAACACATAATACTATAAAATGAATTTTACTATAACTATAAATGCAAAAAATATGAAGTCTCCATCCGGTGCCACACTACCAGAACAAAACCTGAATAATAACCAGAGAAGTTCTAAATTTTGCCTCCATCAAACTCCTCTTTTTGTACATGATCTAGTTCTGCAAATAATCAGCCCAATCACACACAAATATAACCCTAGGGAGTGAAAATACATTTCATCCATATATAGCACATATAAGACATAGGATAGTACTAACAAAATATGTAATAAATTTAACATCATTCATACAACATTCATGTTCAACCATTCGTTCCACTCAAGATATCTCAATTATAAACTATGACTTGTGCGAATGAATGTACTTGACTTATATACATGTGGTACTAATCTCATCATCATCACCAACTAATGGTAACCTAGGAGTCATGGAATGGAATCACCACACACCAGGTGATCCTTTTGATCCATTTCTCAATTAGGAGATGTCTTTTAGCATCCAGTTCAAGTGTTACAGTCAGCCACAATTACCTCACATCCCTTTTAGAGGCTTCCTAACATAACACTTCAAGGTCTAAGTAAACAATTTTTGAAACCTTATTGCAAATAGTCATACTAACTTGCAAACAAACATGAATGCATGAACACTACAAACCAACAACATCACAACACGACATATGCAATGACAATTGGTCATACTTGCAATACCACAACCCTGAATTTCTCCAAAACACACCAAGCTTTGCTTGGATCACAAGTCAAAACATTTCTAGTCGCAACTTGAACTTACATGCTCAACATCACCATATCTCATCCTCAACATCAACATGGTGATATTCTCAAACATCAATACCATCATTCGTCACACATTACAATGTCTCCACTATTCATTCATTCAAGGTATACATTTAATCTCATGCACTTGTAGTTCTTCCTTAAATATAAATCTTATCATACTTACTAACCTCTTTATTCTCTCCTTTTCAATCCTAACATTAATCACTTCTCACAGGCTCCTCCTTTACTAGATTATTTTTAAAAACAAAATTATTCTGAATATTGTGTGGCCTCTAACAAGACTAGACTTATGTCTAGCGCAAAGAGACTAGTGATCTCTTGTAGATTCATGCCTAACATGGTAGTGCCTACGCTCAACTTGAAGAGGTTAGGAACCTCTCTGCTTGATTTTCTCCCAGCATGGATGTCCCCATGCCTAGTGTTGAGGAGTCAAAGACCCTTCTGGAACCACATAATCTGATGTGATCTAGGCCACACTCGAAGGCAAAGGCTTCGAAGACGACATTAAATGGATCTTGATGAGACACCTATCATCCAACACTAAGAAGTTAGAGACCTCTCTAGTATTCTCATGCTCGACATGACTCCCTTCATGCCTAGTGCGAAGAACTACGCTCTCATGACCGGAACCATGAAGGCATGCCCAAAACTCACAAATTCTACACTTTGTAGAATCATGAGCAATACATGGTCCTCTAAACCCATCCACATACATCCCTTCACCTATTTCATTAATATTAAATAAAATCATTATAATACATATATAGAACATATATCCAATAAGGGGTAGTGAGATCATGCTCGATGCCTTGGAGGTCATTATTTGAGATAAGAATGAGTGAGAATGTCTTATATATTGATAGGCACATATAAGGGTTATGGATAGTGAGGTGACCTCTAAGTCTCTGTAGGACTTATAATTGTCAATGTGTTTGATAAGATGTTGATGCTTTTGAGGTTGATATTGTTGTATGATGTTGTTGTAATTTTCGTGGTTAATTATGATGAATTACGTATTGTTACCCGTTTGAATATTTGAAGATGGGGTTGTATGCATGATTTGGAAGTTTTGGTGTGGTCTGATTGATTTTGAAAATTTTAAATATTAACATCTCTTAGTAATTATTTGATTTCTCTTTGGATGATTAACCACATAATGTTTTGTCTATTGGATTGGAAACTAAACATTTGGGACTTCATTTTAGACTTAATAATCACATAAAAATGTTAAAAAGAAAGACTGAGTTATGTGAGTTAGAAGATGACATAACACCCCCCAAATATGTTGCATATGCCCTACTGATGGAAGAGCATGGGCTAAAGGCCCAACCACTAGAGCTATGGCCAGGAGATTACTTGAAGACTTGTCTGCTTCAGAGCTTAGTGGGCCCAATGGGCTTGGTGGGCCTAGGGTGCTTCTCACATGGACCTTACTTGAATAAACACCATGTTTAATTGCATTTTCTTAGCTTAGGATGTTACTTTGATTTTGGTCTTGTATTTTGGACCATAGATTAGGTTTATTGTACTTGGGCTTACTTTTGGGCTTCTTGAGCTTTGGGCTTTTGATACCCAATATTAGGCTCATTCTTCTTCTTGTAATTTTTTTTATTCATTGTATTCATTAGACCAATGTATTTCGGTCATTAGATTAGGTTTATATGAAGTATACATTAATAGGTGCGTTAGGGTTCTTTCATATGTCATTTAGAAGTAATTTAATTTGAATTTGAGTCACATAGAAAGCATGGAGAGGATCCGGCCATGTGAGCTTCAAATTCATCTCAAATAACTCCCAAATGACATTAGGATGAGGTACCAACCGGATGAGTCACTTAATTGGTCAAAGTTTAAATTTCAAATTCAAATTTGAAATTTAAACTTGGCGCCAATTTTGCTTACACGGAGTGGCGCCAAGTTAACCTAATTTTCCACCTATAAATGTGTATTCCTTGCCTTGTAAAAAAACTTTTGATGATATTGAATTTCTGAATTGAATTTTCAGCAATTCTCAAGAGTCACCGAGTTCTAGAGAGAGCAAGAGAGAGTGCCTTCAAACACGTTAGGAATCCCTAGTTCCTTTCCTTTGAAGTGAGCAATCTCTTGATTGCTTCCGCAAGTTCTTCTTCTTCTAAAGTGTTCATCAATTCGATGTTATCTCCATTGAAGTGGATCCGTGCCTAGGAGGAGCTTAGGAGGAGTTCAATCTTCACTTCTCCTACTTCTTCTATCATTTTTGGTATCAAGAGCAAGGTCTTCAAGGAGATAAGTTGCTTCAACTTTTGTGTCCGTGTCTTGTGTTGTTTGTGTACTCTTGTTTGTCTTCTTGAGTTTTCATTTCGGATCTATTTGTTTTAAAGAAAATTTGTTCCATAGATTTATTGTTTGATTGTTTTGAATTTCTTCCACAATCAACATGTTTAGGAACTTTTTGCTTGTGCTTATATTTTGTTTTCTTTGAGTCTCTCCATTTTTTTATGTGTCCATGATTGGACTTCATGCATTGCATTAGATTTTGGTTTTGAATCCATGTTTTGTCTTAGAGTTTGTGTTTAGTCCTTTATATGTTTAAGAATTCCTTAAATAGCATGTTGACCTAATTGGTTTTGAGTGCATTGTTCATCATTGTTGTTTTCGGTTTGCTTTCTTTTGTGCCTACCTATATGTGCTTTTTATTTTGCCTTATTGAGTTCATTATTTGCTATTAGTTCTAGCAAATTTCTTTAGAGTTAGGTTTCCATTGTGTACTTAAGTTTTCAAATCACTTTCCATTAAAAAAAATTCTTAAGAAAAATTTGTGTTACCTAAAATTTCAAGTGCTTAATCCTACTTCTAGTGCACTATCTTTTGGATTCAAATTTTTAAAAGAGTAAAGAGGCTGAAAAAAGAGGAAAATATAGAGCCTAAAACAAAAGAAAAGTTCATAAGAAAAGTGTACAAAAAAGAATCCAACATAAAACCTAAAAACTAGTGCACTAGTTTCATCATTTTTCACTTGATTTTTGGCTAACTTGTAGTCTCGGTTTCTATAGCTTGGAATCTTAAAAAAATTTGAAACAAAAGGCAAATACCTTCCCTGGAATCTTAATTTGAATTTAAAAAAAGAAAGAATAAAAAAATATATATAAAGCAAATTAAAAGGAAAAAGCCAAGAAGTGTACAATCTGAAAATTTCACTTGATTCCTTGGCTTACAGTTTTAGTACCCTGATAAGGCGATTCATGGCGCAGTACGCCACCAGCCGACCTCACCACACAACCTTGGCCGCCTTAGCCAACCTCAGACAGAATGACGATGAACCTCTGCGAGCATTCATGGAGCGCTTCTCCGGCATCTCGGTGAGAATCCGGAACTTGAATCCCGAGGTCGCCCTGCACGCCATGCTCATGGCACTCAAACCCAGGCCATTCATTGATAGCCTATGTCGCGACACCCCCTGCGACGTGGACGAGCTGCGCGCCCGCACCGCAGGCTACATTCAGACGGAGGAGCACTCTGCCTTCCGTGACCAGGTTCGCGGAAATGGCCCCGTGAAGCCAGAACAGGGCCACAAAGATAAAGTAAAAGTCAACAATGACAGCTAATTCAAGAAGTCGGCTAGAGCAAACAGAGGGGGGAGATACGACTTCTACACTCCCCTGAACGCACCCAGGGTACACATTCTGGAAGAAGCCAGCAACAACAACCTGCTCGCCCTTCCACCGCCGGGTCACACTCCTGTAGACCCCTAAAATTGTCCGGGTAGGAAATAAAGCTTGAAGACTCTTGAAGACCAAAGGAAAGTCAGCCGGAAGGACTCCTGGAAGACCCTAGAAGACCCTAGGATGACAATCTGTAGGTTTAGAGGTCTTAGAGTAGCAAAAAAATAAGAAAGTGGAGGGAATGAAGCCCAATACGGCCTCCCAAAAGTTCAGTACGGCCGTATTGAACATTTTAAACTACAATACGGCCGCACTGAACTCAATACGGCCGTATTGAAGTTTCTGAACTTCAATACGGCTGCATTGAATTCAATACGGCTGCACTGAACTTCAATACGGCTGCACTGAACTTCAATACGGCCGTATTGAGGTTTTTTGAACTTCAATACGGCCGTATTGAATTCAATACGGCCGTATTGTAGTCCAAAACTTCAATACGGACCGTATTGACCCCCAGAGGCCGTATTGCGCCTCATCCCTATAAATATGACGTCAATTGGACGTCATTCTACACTTTTGGACTGAGTTTTAACCCTCTTCTTGAGTATTCTGGGTTTTTTTACATAACATGGAATACTATTGGTTAGTTTTATTTAAGCACTTGATATATACCATTAGCAGAACAGTTATACAATGGCCCTGGAAGGCCATTAATAGTGTAGGCATCAGATACATTTGGTCCTCCACCCGTTTGTAATGCTTGTGCTATGACTGCCTCAGGATCTGTATTCCACCATTCTCCTGAAATATTTTGTTTTATGTCAAAGTAAGGTCATTCCTAAATACATGCAGATAACATAGGAATTTGACGTCACAATCATTTTGTAATTACCAAAAATGATGGGAACTTCCTTGTAAGGTTTGGTAAAAGGATATGGAATTCCACGCTTGGGAAGAATGATGATAGGACCATAGAGAGTTGATCTCAACCAAGATATATGGGCATGCCAAAAGAGAGTGCCTCTCTGGCCCACAATGGTGTAATTGTAGACATAACTTTGGCCTGTTTGAATGGGGCACTGAGTCACATAGGCAGGCCCATCAGCCCACCCTGATTGAATCTGTCGAATGCCATGCCTATTTCCAAGGTAAACGAGTTTTTTGACACAGCAAAGTTCAATTTACAAACTATATAATATGTTCAATTTCTTTTTAACCAAGTTTTCGTTTAAAAGAAATAAAGTTTACCAATGAATGGAGATATTGTTCTGAACATGGTTAACCACTTTGATAAGAAGACGATCACCCTCCCTAGCTACAATGCGTGGCCCAGGAAACTGACCATTCACTGTCACCATGCTCTTTGTGTGACATAGACGTTATACATTTTGGTACTTTATCTACATTACATCAAAAAGCGAAGCCATCGTTAGATAAAAAAAAGATTAAAAAAAAAACATGGGAAAGTAAGCTAAAAACAATGTGAAATTCAAATGTTTTTTTTTAAATAATAAATATAAGCTAGCTTAGATAAAGACATCAAGTCCTTTTGAGATTTACATCAAATTGGTAATGCCTGGTAATGCCTCCTAGTGCAAGCTGAGGGATGATGAAAAATGAGAAGAGAAGCAATGCTGGAAATGCAAATGATTGAAGAGGAGGAACACCCATATTTCCTTTGTTCTAGAGAGAGTGCAAAACAGAAATGTAATCTTTGAACACTGTTTGGTTGAGTCTGAACTGTTGTGGCGACACATCTCATTGGTAGGTAATTTATAGAGGAATGATACCATGTGATTGTTGCAATATGTAAAGTCTCGATAAGATCTTCAGGTGTTTTTTGGTATGTTTTGCCTGGCTTCACCTTTAGCTTGAATGTATCTGCAAAACACCAATATTTTCATATAGATACATAACATGCCAATTTTAATTCATGAGGATATGACAAGGTATTATTCTTCTTAATCTTGGGAATTTAACCACTAGTAATCACATAACATGGAATACTATTGGTTAGTTTTATTTAAGCACTTGATATATACCATTAGCAGAACAGTTATACAATGGCCCTGGAAGGCCATTAGAGAAAAAACATAAAATTTCAATGAAAAAGGAAGAGAAATCTCTTTCAATAGAAGGAATTCAACAAGAAACTTTAAAACAAACCCTAATTGCTGAAAAGCCTTCTTACCTTCTTCTTTGTAGAGGTGTGCTTAAGTGTCATAATTTAAGTCTTGAACCTAGTTCTTTACCTCTTGAAGTTTCTCAATTATTAAAAGAATTTGATGATATATTCCCTAGTGAAGGTCCAGAGGGCTTTCCTCCTTTCAAGGGTATATAACATCAAATTGATTTTGTGCCTGGGGCTAGTCTACCCAATAGACCAGCCTATAGGACAAATCCTCAAGAAACTATAAGGAGATAGAGAACCAATTCCAAGAGCTATTGGATAAGGGGTGGGTGGCCGTCATAGCGGTCGAGGTGGAGGGGTTTCCACCTGCGGGGTAATGGGGTCTCCATAATGCCGTCCACAAAAGGATGACGGCGGAAGGGTTCTTGGCCCTCCGAAACATGAGTGGGGTCCCTGCTGG